GAAGGAAAAAAAAAACCATCTTAAAGAAAATTCCTGCCTGGCTCAGATGGCCCCGGCAGACAGAGAGCCTCTCAATTTAGCTCTCCTCAGAGCTCCAGCAGCACAGCCAGCCACGGGCCCACAGACAAGGGCGGTTCTTGCGTGCCCTGCGGAATCCATCTTGCCACTTCTGCAAGATGGAGCCTGGAGCTGCCCGGAGGACAAAGGCTGTTTCCAGAGCCAGCCTTCTGATGGCAGGGCTGATGTCCTGTGCCTTGTCATCAAGGGCTGCAAGAGAGAGGAACAGAGCCATGGTCAGATCTGGATCTGCAGGGACCCGAGGAGAGCCCCGTGCAAGGGCCAACGCAGGTGGCTCTGGCCATGGCCAGGAGGGAGCAGGGACCAAAGGGATCAGCCCAAAGCCACTGGACACTATTGGCACTCGTGCCCCTGAAATCTCTGTGTGTGCCCTGGCCACACCAGGCCTGGTCCGCACAGGGAGCAGAGCCCTCGGCAGCCGGGGCAGGGATTGCAGCTCCCCTTGGCAGCCGGGGCTGGCAGCCCGCTGCCCTCACTCACCCTGACAGATGCTCTGGAGCTCTCGTTTGTTCCCCCGGAGGTGCTGCCCGGCCATCCCTGGGAACACAGAGCCTGTCAGGGTCCCAGCAGCACAGCTCCCTGCCAGCGGCGCTGCCAGCCCTGGGGCCACACGGCCTCCTGCCCCGGCAGGGCTCAGCCCCGGCCCTTGCCGCATCCTGACTCAGCCCAAGGGCCCGGCTGCCAGAGGCCGGCAGCAGCAGCCCCGAGGGCAGCCGGGGCTCCAGGGCCGGGGCAGCAGCCGGGGCTGGGGCCGAGCTGCGGCGGGGCAGGGAGGGAGCCCAGCCCGGTTCGTGGCTCACCAATGAACCTGATGGCCGCCGCTCGCAGGGACTCCTGCGGGCTGTCCAGGTACAGCAGGGCCCGGTGCAGGTGCTCAGCCGCTCGGCTCCTGTCCTGTGCCAGCTGCAGAGAGCGGCGGGAGGGAAGGGTTGGTGCGGGCTCTGCCCCTCGGCCGGGCACTGCTGCCTGCGGCCAGCCCCGGCCTCCCGTGCCCGCCCAGCCCTGAGGCACCGGGCAGCAGCCGCTGGCGCCGGGCTCTGGAGGGGGCAGAGGGCCGGCTGCTGCCCGGGGAGCCGCCCTGCTGCCCTGCCCGACAGACCAGCGGTGCCGGGGCTCCATGGGCACACGGCTCGGGGCCACAGGGGGCTGGAGTAGAGCCCGCGGGGCCCAGGGAAGGGAGCAGCGTGTGGGGCACAGGCTGGCGGCCCTGGGTGCGGCACTGGGCACGGCACAGCTGCCAGCCGCACACACTGAGCTTCTCCAGCCTGGGGCTGGGGCTTCCAGCCCGCCCTTACCAAGCCCTCGCCGAACCTCCAGGTCTGATCCACCCGCAGCATCTGCTGGAGATCCTTCCTCTTCAGCAATCGGGCGGAACAGAGCAGCGTTTCCCGGGAGGCCTGGAGAGCAGCAGAGACCCAGAGATGGCACCACAGCCCAGGGCACAGGACCCACGTCCCTGGACCAAGACCGGGAGGGAGCTGCAGCCTGCGAGGCAGCAGAGCAGGAGGCAGCCGAGCGCCCTGCCAGGGAGCCACGGCAGCTGCCGAGTCCTCACATCAACCACGCGCTGGTTCTCGTCATGGCAGTGCAAGGAGAGTGGGAGCCATCTCTTGTAACTCTGCATGGTGTCTTTCTTCAAAAAAGGTTTTTTGAAGAGGGGAGAAAAATTTTCAAGATGAAGTTGCAGGGAAGCTCCCTGCTGAAAAAAGTGAAGCTTCATCCATCCCACAAACCCCAGCCTGAAAAGACAACAGCACTGGCTTTCTGCACTCCAGAAACCATGTCCCGCCTGGGAATTTAAGAGGAAGCTCAGCAGCTGCAAGAATCACAGCCTCATGGAATCATTTCTGTTGGGAAAAACCTTCACAAGCATTGAGCCCAAGCACTCACAAAAGGTGTCACCTTCCCCTCCCTGATGCCCCAGCCACAAGCACTGAAGGACCAGGGGCCTGTTCCATTGGCTTCCAGCCCAAACCTAATCCCTGTGTCAATCATGGAAGCACAGCAAGAAAGGACCCAAGTTCCCGCTCCTGCAGCCAGCGGCACTGATGGCATCTGCTCCATGTTGGCATCTGCTCCATGTTGGCATCTGCTCCATGTTGGCATCTGCTCCGTGGCAGGAGGGACTCAGGGATGATCCTGCCCTGGGCTGTCACACTTTGGGTGGGCACTGCCCAACCTGCTCTGGAACTCCTCTTACGCCCTCACTGGAGCCATGGCTGCATTTACTGTCCCAGCACCAGCCTGAATTCAGAAGCATATTGTCCCCTACCAGGTCTTGCAGGAGCTTGTTTATTTCCCTTTGCTTTGCGGTTCCTGGAAGCCTGAGCATTTCTTGACTCTGCTTTTCTGCCTGCATGAGCTGCTGAGCTGTCTCTTCCAGTTCCTTTCTCCTGAGAGCTCCCTCTGCTTCCAGCTCTTGTTGCAGGAATTTCACTTGTCCTGCAAACATCACCAACAGCAGGAGTCAGAGTCTTTGCTGACTTTACTGACCTCAGGCCCTTTCAGGACCTCCAGCCCCACCACTCCTCAGAAGCCCTGTGGACAGAGGTGGCTTTACAGGGTGCTTAGCTTTTCTCGGCAGGGGCGGCACCACAAACAAAGCACACGAGGTCCTCACCTTCTACCACTGCCTTGGCCTGCGTGACTCTGAGCACTTGAGCCTCCAGATGGTTCCTGCTCATCTCCAGCTGAGATATCTGCTGCTGAGCAGCAGACAGGCTGGATTCCAGGCTCTCCTTTTGCTGACCTACAAATTGCAAATACAGAGAGACATGAGCTGCTTGCTCCTGACACCCACAGCTTGTTATTCCAGGACAACGAGGCTCAAGATCCCCACACATCAGTAGGGAAAATGGATCACATGGAAACTCTTCCAGAGAAGGCACTTTTGTGCCATTTCCATAGCAAAGCAGGGCCCTCTGAGGGAGTGCCCTGGCCTTCCTTATGGCCTGGCACAGCACACACAGCCCAGCCCAACTTGACCTCAACAGCCAAAGCTTCACTTGCTGTTCCTGACCTATGACACTGGGGAGCTGTGCCCGGACAGGATGGGCTGATGAGCAAAGTCTCAGCCTCTGCTCACAGCCCTTCTGTCATCAGCACTTGCAAGCTGCTCTGCAGGGGGACAGGACAGTCTCTTGTCCTGCTCAACTCCTGACATTTTAATACTCTTGAAAATGGACATAAAGTTACATCATTTTCCAGACACCGTGTATTTAAGAGACTTCAGAACTACTTGGCACGATGCAGAAAAATCTCAAGGTCGTGGTAGCACTTGTAAAAAATACCAACACCCTAAATGCAGAGACTGCTGTTTAAACTCTTGCAAGGTCAAGGAGTAGGCTTGCCACCATTATTTTAGTATTGTTGGCTAAACAGGCAGTAGCCCAATTGGCTTGTCCTTCTTTACAGAGTGAGAGGGACCACGCAAAGGGACTTTGATTGGCTTGGCAGGTGGATGCCCATCAACAATTAGAAAGAATCCCCAGAGGTCGTTGAGGATTCCAAAGGGCTTTCCCTGCTGCTTTCTAACCAGCCCTAGCACCTGGCCCACACTTCTCAAGAGTAGGCTTGGAAGCAGAAAGCCTCAAGACTTTCAGCAGGAGCCTCTGGCTTCACCCAGAATCGCAGCGCACTACTCCCAACATCCCCAGGTAAGAGCCTGGAATGCTCAAGATGGAGCTTCAGTTCTGAAGATCAAGATCATGTCAAGCTACTTGGTAACAAACGAGGGATGTTCAATGCCCAGCATAAGGAACCAAACCTAAGAGAAACTTGAGGTTTCACTCAACCTCTGCATGCTTTAACTACTACTCAATTCAGGGCTGGGTGGCTTGCTTTTGACTTCCCACAGGAATGTGCTTGGCAGCACAAACAGGAGCCCAAGGCTGACGAGAGCTTTATTGGCTTTAGATGTCAGAAAAATAACCTTCATATTGTGACTTTTTTTTTTTTTGAGACACTACCATTTTATGTCCGTGGAATGTAAAAACATCTGAAAGGCTCTGCTCCCTGCCTTTACCTGGTCTCTGCCATCTGCTTGCAAAGCTCTTGCCTCTGCTGCTCCATAGCTGCCAGTCGTCCCTTAAAGGCAGCCTTCTCCTGGCCCAGCAGCTCCTTCTCTCTGTGCACCTGGGCCAGTGGTTGCCCTTGGCCAGAGGATTGCTGGCGCAGCTGCTCCAGGGCCCTGCTCAATGACTCTTGCTCCTGGGAAACCTGGAAACAGGACAAGGTACACCTTGAGCCCTTCCTCAATGATGGTGTGTGCCATTTTGAGGCAGCTGTCCACAGCAGTGTCCCTGTCTTCTTCTGCCAGAAACAGCATCTGGGCTGATCTGGCTGGCACAACTCCCACTCCCACAGGTGCTGCCTAGCAATGAGGTGTCCAGAGCCATGGTGACATCATCCCTCCTTTGCTCCAGCAGATCCCTCTGAAGCTGCAATTCCTCCAGTGTCTGCCTCTTGACTTACAGCTCGCTCTGCAATGAGGGGTCTTCTCCCTCCAGTGCAGCCTCCACTGTACAAGAAGGGCCAAGACAAGTTTTCAAGGGAAAGCCAGTCTCATTTCAAAAACCAACCTCCATCCTGTCCTGCTGCTGGGCCTTTTCCACCTGGGGTGACGTTTCCTTCTGCTGCTCGGTGTTCCTTTGACGCAGCCACAAGGCTCCTGGCTCTGGGATTCCCATGCATTGCTGCAGCTTTTCCCTGGACTTCTCAATGTTTTCACAGCAACTGCAGAGACAAGGCTCAGTCAGAAGAACAAAGAGGCCTCAAGAGTCACCGATCCCATTTCTAGCACTCCAGGCTGGAGCAGGGGGCAGTGGGCTAAGGAAGACCTTGCTCTTTCCCTCCCAAGGAAATCCTCCAGAGGCAAAGGGAAAGGAAGGCAGGATTTTGCCTTCCTTCAGTGAGAAGCAGTGGCTGGGCAGAGGCACGCAAAGAACAGAATTCAGGGAAGCGGTATGGTGAGAAGAAGGAGTCTTCTATTCCAACATGGCTGTGCATCTCCCACACAGCCTTAGGAGTCACAGTAGAGCATGAAAAACCCTGACAGGACGATGCTCAAGAGCCACACATGGTAGGGCAGGTGATTTCTTCACCCAGGAACCTCTGAACTCCCAGACCTGGAAGCAGATTGCATCTGGAATTCAAGAGAAGGAGGAGGAGGAGGAGGAGGAAATGTTCACCCTCTGATTTCTTCTATCAGATCCTCCATCTGCTGATAGCCGCTTGTGACCGTTTGGGTTTCCTCGTCCATTTGACCAATATGTTCCTGCAAGTGCCCACAATTCCCTGAGACTTCCCGAAGCAATGCAAAGGGATCCTGTTTATCCGTGGATGTCAGAGTTGAGAGGATGCTGCCAGGATTGTCAGTGCAGACGATGAAATGGGCCATGCTGTCACTGTCGTCTATCAGTGCCTGAAAGCCCACATCCAGCTGTTAGTCAGGCATTCTCTTCCTATTCCAAAGGACCACTGAGATGCCTCTTCTGATCCCACAAGAACCAGTGTCCATTCAGTTTCAAAATCCCAGCCAGCTCAGCACAGTTTACTCACCTCAGGGGCTCGGGAG